CCTCACCCCCCCCCTCTCGCTTCCTCTCACCATGTGATCTGCTTGTACCTGCCGGCTGCCTGCTGCTTTCTGCCATGAGTGGAAGCAGCCTGAGGCCTGCACCAGATGCAGCTGTCCCAGAATCGTAAGCCAAATAAACCTCTGTTCTTTATATATTACCCAGTCTCAAGTATTCTGTTATAGCAACACAAAATGGACTAATACAGAAAATTGGTACCGGAGAAGTGGGTTGCTGCTATACAGATACCTGAAAATGTGGAAGCAGCTTTGGAACTGGGTATTAGGCAAAGGTTGGAGGCATTTGGAGGACTCAGAAGAAAACAAAAAGATAAGGGAAAGTTTGGACTGTCTTAGAGACTGGTTAAATGGTGATGAGCAGAATGCTAATATAAATATGGACTGCAAAGACCATTCTAAGGAAGTCTCAGATATAAATAAGTAGGAGTTTATTGGAAACTGGGGCAAAGTTCAACCTCGCTATGAACTGGCAAGGAACCTGGCTGTGTTGTGTCCATGCCCTAGGACTTTGTGGAAGTTGGAACTTAGGAGTTGTGAACCAGAGTATCTGGCAGAAGAAATTTCTAAGCAGCAAAGCATTAAGGAAGCTGTATGGCTACTTGTAACAGCCTACTCTGAGTTACGGTGGCAAAGGCATGACATAAAACCAGAATTTAAAAGGGAAGCAGAGTGTAAAGATTTGGCAAATTTGCAGCCAGGCCATGAGGTAGAGAAGCAGAGAGCATTTTCAGAAGAAAAAATCAATGGTACTAAGAAGATTAACACAAAAGAATGGGATTATCAAGAGAAGGGGGAAAAGGCCCTGAAGGCATTGCAGAAGCCTCTGGGATCAACCCTTCAATTTCAGGCCCAGAGGCCTAGGGAGACAGAATGTCTTAGGGAACAGGCTTGAGGAGGCCCCTCCATGGCTTCACTCCTTGGGACTATCTTGGAAAGCTGCTTCCAGCACTAGCACCCCAGCTGCTTTGGTTACTACAGCTGTGGCTAGTTGGCCCCAGGTGTGGCTGGATGTACAACTTTGTAAAGTACAAGCTGGACGCCTTGGTGGCATCCACGTGGTGTTAGGACTGCAGGCTTGCAGAATGCTAGAGCTGTGTTAGCTTGGGAGCCTCCACCCAGATTTCAAAGGACGTATGGAAAAGTTTGGGAACCCAGGAAGAGATCTGTCACAGGGGCAGAGTCACCGCAGACAACCTTCACTAGAGCAATGCTAAGGGGAAACATGGGGTCAGGGGTGCAGCAGAGAAACCACATCAGCGCCATGTCTAGTAAAGCTGTGAGAGCAGGACTGCCATGGAGACCCCATACTTCCGGAGCTACCAGAGTGGAACGACAGCCTGGGAGAGCTGAAGTGTGACTTGCGACCAGGAAAGCCATAGGAATGGAGCTGCCCAAGGACTTGGGGACCCAACCCCCACACCAGCATGCAGAGGAGGTGGAACATGGAGTCAAGGTATCTGATTTGCCAGCTTTGAGATTTAATGCCTGCCCTGCTGGGTTTTGGACTTGTTTGGGACCTGTTACACTTTTCTTTTATCCTATTTCTCACTTTTGGACTGGGAATATGTACCCTATGTTAGTCCCACCATTGTATCTTGGAAGTAGATAACTTGTATTGATTGTTTGGGACCTGTTACACTTTTGAGGGGCCTATTTCTCCCTTTTGGAATTGGAATATGTACCCTATGTTTGTCCCACCGATGTATCTTGGAAGTAGATAACTTATATTGATTTCACAGATGGGACTTTGAACTTTGGACTTTTGAGTTGAAACAAGTTAAGACTTTGGGGATGAAATGAATGTATTTGCACGTGAAAAGGACATGAGCTTTGGGGAGTCAGGGGTGGAATGTAGTGGATTGAATTATGTCCCCCCAAAACTCACTGAAGCTTGAATTGTGTCCCCAAGTTTTATGTATTAGAAACTTGTCCCCCACTGTGAACATTAAGAGGGTGGGAAATCCTATTATGGTAATTGAAAGGTAGAGGCTTGAAGAGTGATTGGATTGTAGGACCCTGTAGTAGTGGATGGATTAAAAATGGTGGTCAAGGGTGTGGTTCTGAGGGCTTTAAAAGAAGAGGAGAGTCTCTCTCTCTGCTCTCTCTGCTTCCACCGTCTTGCAGTCTGAGACCCCTGAGTCACTGTCACCATCACCAGATGGATTTTGGACTTCTCAGCCTCAGAAACTGTAAGCAATAAATTTTGTTTTCTTCTGGCATTTTGTTATAAGCAACATAAACAGACTAATACACTTCCCTTTTTTTCTCTTTGTGTCCCTGGCCAGACTGGTAGGCAATGTACTAAGTTTGAGAAGACTAGGGTAAAGTCAAGTTATGTTCATAATGAACAAACCCCCAGGGCAGGAATAGGAAACTTCTAGAACTGCTGCCACTAAGTGAAGCCTGAAGCACTTTTGGGGGCCTGACTATGACTAGCTAAGCCTTGGGTGACAGAGATATCTGTGCTATATGTCACGGTAGACTAAAGACAGGACTTCTAACTCCTGTGCTAGAGGATTTACATTGCCATGAGACATGTGAGATCATGAACACTATGGTTTCTGCTTAAAATAATCAATTTTTTTAATTGCTCTTTTTAAATTGCTTTTCCCAATAATACTAAAGACTGCAAGCCAAGGAGAATTTCTTTTTTTTTTTTTTTTTTTTAAAAAGATGACCGGTAAGGGGATCTCAACCCTTGGCTTGGTGTTGTCAGCACCACGCTCAGCTAGTGAGCAAACCGGCCATCCCTATATAGGATCCGAACCCGTGGCCTTGGTGTTATCAGCACCGCACTCTACCGAGTGAGCCACGGGCCGGCCTAGAATTTCTTTTTTTTGCCCCTCTTTCTAGGCTTAATTAATGAAATGGTGCCTAGTCACCATTCAGTTAAGGCTTTTGGGTAAAATATTTTACTTGAACAACTTTCAACTCACTAACGAAAGTATATTAGCATGAAAGTATATTGATACAGAATTTTAAACAAAAAAAAATTTCCCCTTCCCTGAAATTCCAACAGTGTCAAGATGTTCTGATTCTAAAATTCATATCCTCATATACCACGAGGGTGCTGAATAAACCACATTGAAAACACATTTACTGTAAGACTGGATGGAGCTTGTGGGTCATTCTCTCTCTGGGTCTGAGCCTGAGCAGTGAATGACGTCACAGTTGTATGATGGAACAAACCCTTTACTGGATTCTTGATCTGACTGAAGCACGTAAGTGGTAAAGAGCATGGCTTAAAAGTAGGGCAGTATCAGGATTTTGTAGGATTCTATGCTGAGTCCTTTTTTTAAAAATCTATGAGAGGGCCGGCCCGGTGGCGCACTGGAGAGTGCACCACTTGGGAGCATGGTGACGCTCCCGCCAAGGGTTCGGATCCCATGTGGAGACCAGTTCCCACTCACTGGCTGAGCGCGGTGTGGGTGCAACACTGAGGGTTGTGATCCCGTTACCGGTCAGTAAAAAAGACAAAAAGGAAAAAATAAATAAATAAAATAAAAATAAAAATCTATGAGAAATTGAACAAATTTTTCTAAAGCAATGATTATTTTGAGCCATGAGGATGACTTCATAGAACTTTTCGAGTGCCTAAACTGCTAAGCCTCTCTGGAGTTCCCAGCTCTATGGTAAGTTTCCAGATTTTGAGCACATGTCATTGAGTTCTTGATTTCCAGGCTCTGAGGTGAAGCTGGGAAAATTGATCAATTTCTAACGAAACATTCAGAGACTTTTTCTTCATGGTTTAATAGTATCTGTCCATTATTTCTAAGTCAACAACCTAGTTTTCTTGCCAGTGAACCACCTACTACAATCTACATTTTTTAGAAAGGCAAAAGATTTATACGATCTGAAGAGAAACAAGTATACAATCTATGTTTCTAAAAGATAACTGAAGAGATAAGACCAGCGAGCAAAGGGGAAGCCCTGTCAACCCAGCTTCTGGTACATAGGCTCTGTTTCTCAAACTATAAAGAAGTAGAAAGGGAGGACTAGGGAGTCCACAGTAAAGAGTCCATTCAGGAGGGTACAAAATAGCATTATATCCCACCCCCAGACCTACTTTCAAGAAAGGCCAGTGGGTTCATAAGAACTGACAGGGCAGGGATAGGTCTCCCAGAGGGAAACCCTGGGAAAATCAATATACTACCAGGCAGTTAGCTAAGATATAAACAAGCAGACAAATATTCTATAAATGCTATATAACATTTTATTCTTTGTCAAAGACTTGAAATATTCTACTGATTTCATAAATAAATAAATTTTTTCTTTAAATAACTTTTTCCACATATTTCCAACTGCATAGCGCCATTTTTATTATTTAAGGTGTAAGACTTGATCTGATATATGTATGTGTTGTGAAATAATCACCATAATCAAGCTAATTAACATATCCATCACTTCACAAATTAACATTTCCGTGTGTGTGGTGAGAACACTTAGGCTCTTAGCAAATTTCAACTATATGGTAAAGCATTGTTACCTATAGGCACCATGCTATACATTAGATTTTCAGAACTTATTATCTTCCAACTTTGTACCCCATGATCAACAAACATCTCCCCATAACCCCCTCCTCCTAGCCCCTGGAAACCACCATTCTACTCTCTGCTTCTGTGAATTTGACTATATTAGATTCTGTATATTAGCGAGATCATACAGTATTTGTCTTTCTGTGTCTGGCTTATTTCACTTAGCATTTATTTTTATATAGGATCAGAGTGACACTATTTGAAAGGGGAGCAGTGGCAAGAAATTTTGCTTAGAGATCTGGGAACAGTAAAGGAGCTCTTCCATGTGGCCTTTCAACTTTGCACATACCTCTAACTTGAATTTGCATATGTCACTATTTCCTGAGGCTCTGTACTTTTCAAACTTCAGGCCTTGAGCTAGAAAAGCTGCAAAAGAATATAAGGAAATTAGTCTGTGAGCTGATCCTCAATTGTATTTTCTGAATTTCAGACAGAGTCACTGGCCACATGGCAGTTTCAAAAATTAAATCAAAACTTAAGGTGAATCTTCTAACAAAAGTACCTGTCTCCCACAGAAGGAGGTAGGTAATAAATGTATGAAGGTGATAAATGAAGAATTATTAAGGTGATGAATATATTAAATACCCATAAAGGCTATGATGAAACAATTGGAAAGCTCTTCAGATATCCATTCTGTGATACGTTTAGTTATAAAACAAAACATCTGAATTGGAGAGAAAGATTTTTCATGAGAAGAAGAGGATATAGGTCCTTTTTGATTAGAGAAATAAAGAGTTCTCCTTTTCGTTCACCCAAACAAGAGGCTATTTTTGTGCCAGGACACAGAACACCCGAGAGGGCTCCAGGACTTGTCAGGTATACATTGAGATATTTTCAGTGCCAGCTTAAAGGAGAATAAACTTACAAGGTCATAAAAAAGACCTAAATCACTAAGCAAGTCAAAGTGTAGGAAAAGGGTCTATGTTTCAAATATGGCTAGTAAAATGCAATCTAATAAATTAGCCACGACTAACCCTGGGCTAAAATTGGGAAGGGAGGTTTGTATGTGGCATTAGCTATAGGATTTTCTCAGTCTGCTAACAACAAATTCCAATTAACAGCCACTAATGACTTAAGTGAGAGCCTGGTCTGTATTTTATGAGATCACGAGAAGAAAGTCTTCTCTCCTCTCCCACCATTAGCCATCACTTTGCCACTTTGAGAGTATTTTTCCTAGTGTCCTTAACTATGCCACTCTAAAGAAATACATTACTGACTTCTTTAGAGGGAAGTGGGTAAGATAACCTCAGAGCAGCCAAATGAACACTTACCCTGCATTACAAGCTGCCTTTTGAAGTAGTGAGTTCCTGGTCACTGACAGTAGTCAAGCAAAGACTAGATACTATCACATGGAGAGGGAACTGCTACGTTAGAGGAGAAGCTGGACTGGATTCATACCAAATCTAAGATTCTTAAATCATTTGAAACATTGTAAAATAAAAAGATTCTCCAATATTTGATCTAAGATAAGGTTTGAAATTGCGCCGAGTATTCTTTTTTTATTGTAGCTAATAAAAACTTTATACTGCCTGGCGTTCTACTTTCCTCTTGCTTCTTGTATTTCTCCATCTACTGCATCTTTTACATCATCCAAGAGAAATCTGTTTATATTTAGAAATACAACAAATATAAAATAACCTACCTCAGTAAGGGCACACCTGAGTTTTCAGATGCTCAATCAGGTAATAAAGAGGAAACACCAAAAGAAGAAATCAGCATTCGTAAATGTTGAGAAAATAAGACAAATTAGATAAAATTCCATGTTGAAAAGGTGACAACAGTGTATTTTGAGAGCTTATCACTGCCTTTTCTCCCAGGTCCCTCTTTGAAAATGAATACAACCTAATAAATACTCTGGAGGATACTAAATTAATAACCATAATAATTTTTTGTTTCACTATAACATTTAGTATTTCTTCTAGTTTCACTTTTTTAACTACTTCTTATAAAACCACAAAAACTGGGCCAGCCCGAGGCCCACTCTCACTCGGGAGAGTGTGGTGCTGACAACACCAAGTCAAGGGTTAAGATCCCCTTACCGGTCATCTTAAAAAAATTTTTTTTTAAAACCACAAAAACTAAAAAAATTCATTTTTTAAAAACTCTTCATTCTAAGAGTATCAAAACTAAAGGCATTTTAAATAAAATAAATTTATAAAATTATGATTATTGTGGGCCAAACCCGTTGCGCACTCGGGAGAGTGCAGCGCTGGGAGCAAAGTGACGCTCCTGCCGCGGGTTCGGATCCTGTATGGGAGTGGCCGGTGCGCTCACTGGCTGAGCGTGGTGCAGGCGACACCAAGCCAAGGGTTGCGATCCCCTTACCAGTCACGAAAAGAAAAGACAAAAAAAAAATTATGATTATTGAATTAAATTTTATAATTAAATTTACTTAAATGTAATTAAATTTTGTTTAAATTACCATATAAAAAAATCCAGTTCTATGTGATGCATTTTTATGTTCCTAAACTAATAAATTACTGCAGAGCTATACAAAATATCCCCAAAGTATTAAATTTTTCCTCCTTTTCCAGATTTTACTTTCCTGAGAAAATGAAAGGTCACCCAGGGTTCCAAACTTTCACTATTTCTGTCTCTATCTCTATCTCATGTCTCACATGCTGGTAAAAATATAATTTGGCAATTAAAGTCATAAAGTAATCATGGATGTCAAGGTTTCTCCATAAGGATATTTACCACGACATTATTTATAATAGTTAAAAATTTGAAACAACTTATATTTCTAACAACAGGAATAGTGTAAGACTTACAGCCTTGAGCTTTGGAGTCAGACTAGTCTGGGTATGAATCTCAGGTCTTCCGCTTATCTGTGTGACTCGGGACAAGTTATTTAATCCCTCTGAGCCTTGGTTTTCTGTTTTGTAAAATGGAAGAAATCATCTTTTTAAGGGGAGTAAGGATGAGGGACAAGCATAGGGCAAAGGCAGACCTCAGTGGCCAAAGGTGACGGGCAAGCATAGGGCAAAGGTGGACCTCAGTGGCCAACATCTTCTCACTGTCCATTCTGTAGCTATTGGCAAGTGGCAGTAATACGTCCCTTAGGTAGTAAGACTCTGGACATATTGTTATGCTTACAGTCATTCCAATCAATAAAAACTGATGAATGGGAATACTGTTTGCTGTTTCACGTATTAAATCTAAATCTTTTCATGTTTCTTCTCAGGGATAAAGATTTACCAGGATCTCTTCAATGCCAATCACAACACAGAGAAAAGAAGTTGAGTCATTCACAAATGGAAGGTAATGAAAATCATCCTCAAAATTAAAATGTAAACAACAGCCCTTTAACATAACTGATCCTTCTTCTCTCAGAAGATCTGGGATTTCAAGGGTTGTTTATACTACTAGATTTCAAGGGTTATATATACTACTCTATCATTTGAAGGAAAAAAAAGAAAAAAAGTTTCTGTGGGTCGGGAGAAGGATCACTTTCAAATGGGCATCTCCCTAGAATTTAGACAGTCCTGGTCAAATTCCTGTATTCAAAGAATAACTTATGGGTTATTCTGTGTGGAAAAGAACAAATGAAAGGTCAAGTATAAACCAAGTAATGTAAGAGTGTAAACACAACTAAAGTCCCAGGATTTCTCAGAGAAAAAAATTATAATGATAAAATGAGCTATACTGGCTACAGTTCATTCATCCAAACAACAAATATTTACTTAAAGCCAAAAATGTACTCGGCACGGGAAACACAACAAGTCAGACTTGGTCACTGCCCTGATAGGAAGTCTAACAGGGAAGACAGACAATTAAACCATAATTGTTGAATGAATCATTTAAATTACAATAGGACATGACAGGAAAAATATAGAGCATAAAGAGACGTCTCCTAACTTGGTCGTGTGAGGGAAGAAGCGTCCCAGAGAAGGCTGAATATGAAGTAGGAGTAAATCAGGCAAAGAGCACAGAGGGGAGTGTTCCAGGCAGAAAAAAAAGGCCCAGAGAAAAGGAAAAGCGTGATGCACTAGAAAAACTACAAGAAGTCAGGCATGGCTGTGTTTGGATTCTGGGAGGCTAATGCTTCACTCCTCTGAATTTAGAATCAATTGAATGTAAGAGCAGAGAAGGAAGGTGGTTAGAGGATTGGCTGGTTTGTTTATGAAAGGCACACTCACAAGCTAATAGTTTACTATCTACACGAGTTTACTAGTCAGCCCTGGGTGGGGCAGTCCCTCTAGAGCATAAAACAGCGTCTCCTAACTTGGTCGTGTGAGGGAAGAAGCGTCCCAGAGAAGGCTGAATATGAAGTAGGAGTAAATCAGGTAAAGAGCACAGAGGGGAGTGTTTCAGGCAGAAAGAAAGGCCCAGAGAAAAGGGAAAGCGTGATGCACTAGAAAAACTACAAGAAGTCAGGCATGGCTGTGTTTGGATTCTGGGAGGCTAATGCTTCACTCCTCTGAATTTAGAACCAATTGAAAAATTGACTCAGGAGACAGAAAGGAAGCCAAGAACCACCTTGATTGCTGGGATAGCTAGTTTGGAAAATACAAAGGACTGTCAAGATCAGATTTGCATTTTTAATTGTAAAACTGAGCTAAATGCCTTGATAATAACAGTTTATGGTTTTATAAGACATTAATGTTTCTAAGGAGCTTTAATATACATTGGTGCTCATTTTAAGGGATTTCTTTTAATCAGGTGTGGTAAGACATGCAGACACGGAAATGACTGTCATGAAGGAAGTTTTTTTAACTCACAGATCCCAGAGGCACATGTCATGCAGGGCCACACGAGGAAGCACCAGGGTCAGTCAGGAGGTGGCAGGGGCAGAATGTGGACAAGAGCCTTTACTGTGGTTTCCAGGAAAAGGAACTGGCAAAGCAGAGTAAGCAGGGTTAGGATTAGTGAGTTTGAATAGTTTCAGTGTGCTCTGGGGTGTGGGGGCTGTCTCTAGTTGTCTGGTATCTGGGCTTGGGATAATTAAGGAAGGAACATAGCAGCCTTGAATGTAAGAGCAGAGAAGGAAGGTGGTTAGAGGATTGGCTGGTTTGTTTATGAAAGGCACACTGACAAGCTAATAGTTTACTATCTACACGAGTTTACTAGTCAGCCCTGGGTGGGGCAGTCCCTCCAAGGCCAGCAAAGCCCCAGATGTCAAAGCATCAAACACAGAAACTAGAAAATGTAGTTATTCCTCACAACTTTCCTATGAGTGTTCAATTTCTTCATTCTACAAATATTTATTGAACACTTCAAATTCCCCAACATCTTCCATTCTCACTCTCAATTGATATACTTGCTTCCTACTTCTCTGAAGAAAACTGAGGCAATAGGAATAGAATTTCCACAGACTCCCAACAGCAACAGGAATAGAATTTCCAGACTCCCAACTCCCTGTCTACCTTCCTACCAGCATCTATACCCATATACTCTGCCTTCCACCATTTTCGAACAGTTTGAGCAACAAAAATAAATATATATTTGTTTTATAAACCAAAGTAAAAAATAAACATCCAAAAGTCCATATGCTAGAAATAAATGACAGAATTTTTAATATTTTAACAATTTTTTTTTTCCTTTTTTTTGTCTTTTTTCGTGTCCGGTAACGGATAGCAACCCTCAGTGTCGCGCCCGTACCGGACCAGGACCGGCAACGGGATCACAACCCTGGGTGTTGTGCCCAGTGAGCGGGAACCGGTCTGTATGTGGGATCCGAACCCTCGGCGGGAGCGCCGCCGCACTCCCAAGCGGCGCACTGTAGCAGTGCGCCACCGGGCCGGCCCTATTTTAACAATTTTTAAATGAAGAATTTTTAAATAGTAGCTGGAGAAGAAAATGTCACAATATTTTTAAAAATTGTAACATAATTGATTACACATATTCATGGGGTACAAAATTGAATATCAATACCTGTGTACAATATGTGGTGATCAAGTCAGAAGAGTTAGTACATTCTTCATTACACAATGTAATCATTCTTTGTGACCCTTTACCAATTTCTCACTAACCCTCCTCCTCCTTTCCCACCACTGGTAACTTCAGTTCTGTCCTCTCCTTTAGAAAGTTCAACATATTATTATGATTATTGTATCTTTCTCTCTTTCTTTTTTTATTTGTTAATATTTTTAGCTCCCACTTATGAGAACATGCAGTATTTCTCTTTTTGTGCCTGGCTTATCTCACTTAACATAATTTTTTCCAGGTTCATCCACATTGCTGCAAGTGGCAGAATTTCATTCTTTTTATGGCTGAGTAGTATTCCATTGTCTATAGATAGCACATTTTCCTTACGCAGTCATCTATCAATAGGCATTTAGGTTGATTACATATCTTGGCTATCGTAAATACAGCTGTGATAAACATGGGAGTGCAGGTATCCCTTCCACATGATTTCCATTCCTTTGGGTATGTACCCAGCAGTGGGATTGCTGGATTGTATGGCAGTTCTATCTGTAGTTGTTTGGGGAACCTCTATACCATTTTCCATAACGGCTGCACCAATTTACAGTCCCACTGACAGAGTAAGAAAGTTCCCTTTTCTCTGCCTCCTTGCCAGCATTTGTTATTCTCTGTCTTTTTGATAATAGCCAGTCTAACTGGGGTGAGATGATATCTGTGTGGTTTTGATTTGCATTTCCCAGATATTTAGTGATGTTGAACATTTTTTCATGCGTCTGTTGGCCATTTTTATGTCTTTCTTTGAGAAATGTCTATTCAGCTCATTTGTCCATTTGTTAATCAGGTTATTTGGTTTTTTACTGTAATTGTTTGAGCGCCCTGTATATTCTGGATATTAATCCCTTGTTGAATGCATAGTTTGCACATATTTTCTATCCTGTAGGTTTTTTCACTCTACTGATTGTTCTCTTTGCTGTACAGAAGCTTTGTAGTTTGATATAATCCCATTTGTTTATTTTTGTTGTTGTTGCCTGTGCTTTGGGGCTCTTATTTATAAAGTCTTTGCCCAGTCCTACACCCTGGAGAATCTCCCCTATGTTTTCTTCAAGGAGTTTTAAAGTTTTAGGTCTCATATTTAAGTCTTTAATCCATTTTGAGTTGCTTTTGGTGAACAGCAAGAGGTACAGATCTAGTTTCGTTCTTCTACATATGGATATCCAGTTTTCCCAGCACCATTCATAAGAGGCTCTCCTTTCCCCATCTTATGTTCTTGGTGCCCTTGTTGAAGACCAGTTGGCTGTAAATATGTGGGTTGATTTCTAGGTTCTCTATTCTGTTCCATTGGTCCACATGTCTGTTTTTATGCCAGTACCATGCTGTTTTGATTACTGTAGCTTTATAGTATAATTTGAAATCAGGAAGTGCCTCCAGCTATGTTTTTCTTTTGCTCGGGATTACTTTTGCTATTCAAGGTCTTTTGTTGTTTTATATGAATGTTAGGAATGCTTTTTCTATTTCTGTGAAGAATGTCATTGGCATTTTGATGGGGATTGCATTGAATCTGTACATTGCTTTGAGCAGTATGGACATTTTCACAATATTAATTCTTCCAATCCATGAGCATGGAATGTCTTTCCATCTTTTGTGTCCTCTTTAATTTCTTTCAGCAGTGATTGTAGTTCCTATTGTAGAGATATTTCACCTCTTTCAGCAGTGATTGTAGTTCCTTTGTGTCCTCTTTAATTTCTTTCAGCAGTGATTGTAGTTCCTATTGTAGAGATATTTCACCTCCTTGGTTAAAGTTATTCCTAGCTATTTGTTTTTTTTTTTGGTGACTATTGTAAGTGGACTTGCTTTCTTGATTTTTCTGCTAGTCCATTGTTGGAGTAGAAAAATTTTACTGATTTTCATGTGTTGATTTTGTATCCTGCAACTTTACTGAAATTATCTGCTCTAAGATTTTTATGTAGAGTCTTTAGGTTTTTCTATATATAGGATCATGTCACCTGCAAACAGGGTCAGTTTGACTTCATCTTTTTCAATCTGGATGTCATTTATTTCTTTCTCTTTCCTAACTGCTCTGGCTAGTACTTCCAGTACTATGTTAAATAGGAGTGATGAGAGTGGGCATCCTTGTCTGGTTCCTGTTCTTAAGAATTTAGGATGATGTTCATTCAGGATGATGTTAGCAATGGATTTGCTGTATATGGCTTTCATTGTGCTAGGATATTTCCCTTCTATATCTAATTTGTCAAAAGTCTTTATTCTGAAGTGATGTCAAATTTTGTTAAATGCTTTTCTGCATCTATTGAGATAATCATATGGGTTTTGTCCTTGATTTTGTTGATGTGGTGTATCACATTTATTCACTTGTATATGTTGAACCATCCTTGCATCCCTGGATGAATCCCACTTGATAAGGGAGAAATAACAGTGAGTTTGTATATATGATATAATAGAAAGTGAAAAAAAATTGGTGTCGGAGACAGAGGGAACCCCTTCTTGGGTAATTTCTTTGAATATGAGAGGGAATGGGTTCTGGCCCACAGTGGAGGCATTGGCTCTAGATAAGAGTACAAAGTTAATTTGCGGAACAGGGAGGAAGTCAGAGTATGTGTGTACATACTCTGTAGGGAGGTAGATATGGAGGTGGGAGTCTGCAGAAATTCTACTTGTCTCTTTTTCTTCCTAATTTCCCCCACCTAACATTACTTTTTCTTTTTCCCATAGCACATACCACCATCTATAGTGGCATCTAATTCACCCATTTATTACATTTCTATGAGGGCAGAGATGTTTGTCTATTTAATGCACTAATGTATCCTGAGCACTTAAAACAGTACCTGGCACATAGAAAGCATGCAATAAATATTCGTTGACTAAGTTACACACATGAAAGAAAGCCTATTAAGGTGCTAGAGAAGTTGGGAGAAAATAGAAACAAGTCAGAGATGGTTTAGTCCAAGTTCTAGAGAAGCCTACCTTTTATCAAAGGAGAAAGATATTACCTTTTCACATTATTATAGGGCAGGTATCATTATCTCTATAGGATTAATCGTTCATACAGAGAGAGGCTGAGACTTGAATGTGATATGAAAAAAGGTTTATTCTGGTGCCATTTGGCACAACTTTGTTCTAGGTTTATTTCCTGATTCACTAATTTTAGAAAACATGTCTAATTTTGGCTCCTGTTAGTACCTTGACTATTTCTTTAAAAAACTTTGGGTCTGTACAAACATACACAAACAAATACATAATTTGGGTCCATATTGGTATATTAGTTTTCTATTGCTGCTGTTAACAAATTGCCACAAACTTGGCAGCTTAAAAAAACACAAATTTGTTATCTCACAGCTCTGTATGTCAGAGGTCCAGGTGGCCTCAGTTGGTTTTTCTTTAATGGGTCTAACAGGGCCGAAATTAAGGTATTGGCCAGCCTGGGCTCTTATGTAGGGGCCCTGGAGGAGAATCTGCTTCCAATCTCATTCAGATTTTTGGCAGAATTCAGTTCCTTGTGGTTGCAGGGCTGAGGTCCCAGTTTCCTTGCTGTTTGTCAGCCAGGAGCCTCTCTCAGCCACTTAAGGCTGCCTGCATTCCACATCATGTTGCCCCCTCAGTCTTCAAACCAGCAATGGTGGTTCAGGTCCTTCTCAGGCTCTGAATCTCTCTGACTTCTTCTGCCACATCTCTCTTGCTGTAGCTATATAAGGGATCATGTAATTATATTGGGCCCAGGATAATCTATCTTAATTCTGCAAAGTCCCTTTTGTCATGTACAGTCACACGTTCACAGGTTTCAGGGATTAGGGTATGAACATCTTTGGAAGGCCATCTCACTTACTACATTTGGTTTTCCATCAATTAGTTTATCCCAGTTCAAATCCCGTGGAAGGATTCTATCCTTCATAAGAAATGTCTACTGAGTACTTGTTTTTCTCTCAACACTTTTTCAGAAAATAATCTCCAGTCAACTGCACTGTCTATCCTAATCACATTAGCATATGTATTTCTTCTTGAATAACTGTCCTGAATAACGTAATTCCATTTTGTCAGCCTTCCAAGATGCCTACAGCTTCTTCAACAAGGATAAAACTGGTTGTATTGATTTACATGGAATGATGTGCACTTTAGCTAAGCTGGGAATGAATCTAAGCAAGCATGATGTCAATAATGAATTAAGATGTGCTGATATTGATGGTGAGTACTTTGACTTCTCATTATTTTTCTCATAAAATATTTTTGTGAATATGTATTTTTCTCAGTGACTGTATAAACATGAGATAGACCTCATTTATTTGCCAAAAATGTGTGTGTGTGTGTGTGCGTGTGTGTGTCTATTTAAAGACATCAGTGAGGAATGTATACAAGTTATGATATCAAATTAATGATACGAATTAACTATTTGAAAAATCCTGTGTGGAAATTAGAGTGACTGTCTCATTTCAATATCAAATTCAGGTTACCAATCATGATGTAAATTTTGGAGAGTGCCTTGACATAACAGATACAAAGACGTGAATAATTTCAAAAGTGACACGTTGCCAAGAAAATCCAAGCCCTTTGTTTCTGTTTTAATCATAATAATACAAATCTTTCTTCTGTCATTCCATCTATATTGAATTTTTATTTTTTATTTTTTTAAAAGAAGACCAGTAGGGCCGGCCCGGTGGCGCACTGCTACAGTGCGCCGCTTGAGAGTGCGGTGGCACTCCCGCCAAGGGTTCGGATCCCACATACAGACCGGTTCCCGCTCACTGGCTGCGCGAGGGGTGGGAGGCACACCGAGGG